AGAACCCGTATCCGTCCTCAAAACCAGTATTACCACTCGTTTTCGGCCGTCCGTAGGTTATCGTAAGGTTGCTGGTTCGCTTAGCGTACTGGACGGCTTGGTAGACGGCGGAGAAGTGAGGATCGTGGGGTTTGAGGTTATGCTTCGTGAGCATCCCAAGCGCTAGGGAGAGATCAGGACGTGAGACCGTGCTGGCGTAAATTAGACTACCGGTGAGAGACTGGTAGGTCTTCACGTTTTCACGGTTTGCCGGTTCATCGGCTTTCCTAAGCTCGGTGCTAGGACTGAATGGGATGAAAGGTCTTGGAGAGGTTGCTGGGACGTCAGGAAACTTGTCAATATAGGCTTTTTGGCCTATTTTCATGATTCCGGCTTCACGGTCACGTTGGATCTTCAGGCTAAGGTAGTGAGAGACTTCACCTAGGTCTGAAATAGACCATTGCTTAGCGATCGCTTCCTTGACTCTCTGAAGCGTTGTTGGAGACGTCGATGCGAGCAACATATCATCTACGTAGACGAAGATGATGGTAATTCCACCCCCTTGCTCGTGGCGTACGTATAGACATGGATCAGAGGATGAGGCATTGAAGCCTTTGGAAAGGAGGAAGCTGCTAAGGGTCTTATACCAATTGGCTGCTGACTGGCGCAAGCCGTATAGACTCTTACGAAGGCGACAGACATTACCGTGAGGTTCGACGCCATGAAAGTCGAGACCGTCGGGGTATTGCATGTACGTTTCCTCTTCCAAAATCGCATTGAGATAGGCCAAATTGACGTCTAAATGCGTCGAATATAGCTTCTTCAATGTGATGACTGCAAGGAGTACTCGGAGGGTCTCGTAGCGGCCGGTGGCGGCGTACGCATCCTCATAATCAATGCCTTCTCTCTGGGTATTACCTCGGGCCACCCAACGTGCTTTGAACTTGGCAGGTCTGCCATTGGCATCGGTCTTGAGCTTATAGACCCATCTACCCGAGAGGATCTTGGCCCCTGGTGGTGGAGATGCTGGTTGCCATACTTGGAGAACCTCAAATTGAGCGATCTCCGACTTCATAGCTTGCTCCCACCATAGCCAGAACGGTGAAGCCTTAGCTTCCCGAAGAGAGGTTGGAGACTCGAGCCATTGAGCTGGCGTAGACTCGATATCTTGGATAGACGGAAGTGCTAGGAGAGAGCTCTCTGTAGAGAGTATTGCAGCTTCCGCAAGAAGCACTATAGACTGGTCTTCACAGCGTTGAATCTCAGCTTTTTCAGCTCTTGAAGCCGTTGAAAATAGCTAAATTGGGTCTCTAGAATCGGCGTCGGAGACGTCCGATGCGTCTAAGACCTCGGATTGATCTGAATCCTCGTCCAATACGTAGAATTCGTCATTTTTGGGGTCGTCGGAGTCCTCTGGATCAGGGCCATGGAGGTTG